TTGAAAGCAAAAGAGTTTAAAATTATCGATGAACCATTTAAAATATGCATTAAAATTTTGTGTTATTTTGTTGCATTATTACAATATTTATCTTATTTATGCTATAATGCTGAATTCTACTCATCTTTAAAGAGAGTATTTAACCAAATAAGATTAAATTTAAAAAGAGTATTTAGCTAATGATGTATGCTTAAATTTTAGGTTTTTTAGTATTTATAAAATACTTCTGATTAAGATTTTTGGTGTAATTTGTTTTTATGTTTTGTTCCTCTATTCATTTGTGTTATATAATTTTTTTTTGTTTTTGTTTATTGTAAATTTACTTTTCTGATATCCTTAATAACTTAAAAACAGGGAAATTTTATATTTGACATCCAAAGTCATATGGATTGTCTTCTTACAAAAAACAACTCGTAGTTTCATGTATGCTAGTAATCCTATGAACGTACATCCCAAATGTTGATGTCTCTCTCGTATCGGTTTGGTCAAGACCTACAAGCTTCTTTTTCTCATTCAATCTGAACTGTTTTTGATGATGACAAGATGATATAAGATTGGAATCCACCAAACTTATGTTCAAGCGATAATCAAGAGTTTACAAGATTTCTTGCGGAAATGGGCGTGATGTTGAGATGGAATGTGGTTGTTTGATTGACTCTCTTAATCTGTGAACGAAATAGATTGTTTGAATCGCACAAACAAACTAATCTCGCAACTTCTATAGAGCTAAGTGAATCGTACACTTAAATTTAAAGAAAATAACACTCTTTGCAAAGAAACACTTTGAAAAGGAAACAAAGAATTTAATTGATTCGTGATTGAAAGGTGTGTTACAATGAAACAAAACCTGAGCTTATATAGGCTCAATAGGCAAGGTCCTCTAAAATAAGAAAGAAATGCACAAAATAAGTCTAAGAGATTTGTGCTTTAAGAGAATATAGCCGTTAAACTTTATTGCGAGAATCTTTGCCAAATAAAAGAAGGTGACGTCTCCTTTGTATATGGATGGTTTGGATGGATAGGTGAGATTCCTTGGAACCTTATACAGTAATTCACTTGGATGGTCTTCAATGCGTGCACAATCAGATTAGGAAGGAGCCGTTGCAATGTGAACACTATAAAAGCACTCGGATCCATATAAGGCAAGTTTTGGGGCTGAGTGATCCAATGCATTTTGGTGCACCTTAGGATGTCGTAGGGAGCTTCTAAAATCAGCAGAGAGTCTCCTGGGCGCCAAGTATACGTTTGGTAAACCCGTGAGGTTCTAAATAAGGCAAGCCAATAATCTTCCGGTTTAGAAGTTGAATAACTTTTAAACCATAATGAATTTTTGTATGAATCTAATTTGACAAGCTTCTTTGTTGAACCAGTATTCCAAAACAAGTCGGCTTGTAGCTTAATTCGTCCTGGTTCGGCGGAAATCCTCTAATAAGTTCTTGTATGTCTAAATCGGAAAAGTACGCGATCATCCGATTTGCAGACTGAATAACTCCTTCATATGAACACCGATTGAGCTGATTCAACTTCAAGGCGTGCTCTAGATGAGCTGAGTTTATATCCCAAGTTGTTGTTGAGCTGGAATAGTCGGTCTTGGTCCTCACTTGAACTGAGAATA